TCTTTGCTGCTCCAGCGGGGCTGGGAATGGGGCTGGGGAAGGGGCTGGAGCACTGGGAGAGGCTGGGGGATGTGAGGGGAGGAAAGGAGGCTCAGGAGGGACCTCCTTGCTCTCCACAGCTCCCTGGCAGGAGAGGGCAGCCAGGTGGGGTCAGGCTCTGCTCCCAGGTGCCAGGACCAGAGGAAATAGCCTTGAGGGGAGCTTTAGGTTGGATTTTTGGGAAACTTCCTCATGGAAAAGGCAATCCTGTCTTGGCACAGGCTGCCAGGGACAGGGGGGATCCCCATTCCTGGGAGGGTGGGATTTCACAGCTCTGTGCATGTGGCACTTGGGGACATGGTCAGTGGTGGCCTTGGCAGTGCTGGGCTTGGTGACCACAGACTTCTCCAGCCTTGAGGATTCCCCAATTCCTTTGGGAACGATCCCCAGCAGCTCCTGGCTGAAACTGTGCTGCCCCTTGGCCTCTTCCCGCAGCCTGGAGCCCGCCTGAGCTGCCATTCCCTCCCTGATCCCATCTCCTGCCTCTTCCCAGGTATTTCTTCCCTCGGCAGCTCCTGATCCGTTACTTCTGGACGCCCAAGCAGCAGCTGGAGTTCCTGGACGCGTACGACTGCATCCGCAGGGACTCGTACCGGGACGTGCTGCGGAGCCTGGCGCTGGCAGCGCGCTCCCTGCCCGAGCCCCAGCCCCGCCAGCTCCTGCAGCAGCTCTGTGCCCAGGTCTGTCCCCTCCTGCTGCCACCCCTGGGCGCTGGGGAGGTGCTGTCACCTGTCAGAGGTGTCACCCGCGCCCCCGGGGCTCCTGCAGGTGGAGGGAGGTGCTCGGCCACAGCTGGCCCAGCTCTTGGCCGTGAGGAGTTTGTTCTCTGGGTCTGTGCTGGCGCTGAACAGGCTCCAGGTGGATCATGTGGTGAGTTCAGCTCAGGCGTGTCCCAAAACCGCTCCAGATGCAGCTGAAGAGCTGCAGGGGGTCCTGGGCTCATCCCCACAGCAGGTGAGGGGGGCTCAGGTGAGACCCCACCTGCAGTGCTGCCTCCAACTGTGGGGTCCCCAACATTAGAAGGATGTGGAGCCGCTGAGGATAAATCCAGAGGAGGATCTGGGGAAGGAATTCCTCCCTGTGAGGGTGGGAATGCACTGGGAGGGAATTCCCCATCCCTGGAAGTGTTTGAGGCCAGGTTGGACGGGACTTGGAGGCACATGGGAGTGCCTGAATGGGTCCCAGGCCTGTCCTGGGAGGGCTTGGACACGTCCCAGGTGCCTTCCTTGTCCTCCCCAGAGAGCCCTGAGCCAGGTGCTGTTCCTGACCCCACATTTACCGGCCTTTTTCCTGCGGCACCGGCTGCGGAGCCACGTCCTGGAGATCCGACACCTGGACCGTGCCCTGCTGCAGCTGGGCCTGGGGCAGCTCTCAGAGGAGGAGCTGCGAGCGGTGAGGACACCTCAGCACACCTGGCCTGGCCTTGTGTCACCTCAGGTGTCACCTCAGGTGTCACCAGCACGGCCTCGGGGCGCGAGGTTGCTCTCTTGTGGGAATGTTTTCCACGCTGGGATGTGTGAGGAGTTCCTCACTTCTCTTCCCCTCCTTGAGGGGGATCCTGGTGTGGTGCTGGAGCTCTGTGTGTCCATCCCTGCCCGTGTCTGTCTCCCCAGGCCTGTTACCTGCGGGGGCTGAACTCCACTCACCTGGGCCAGGCCGAGTGCCGGGCGTGGCTGGAGCAGTGGCTCAGGCTCTCCTGTGAGCTCCAAGGTACCTCTGAGAGGGGAGCCACAGCCAAAATCCTTCTCCAGGCACAGGGAGTGTCACTCCTGGGGGGTTCTGGGCTGCTGGGGGGGATTCTGTCCCCATCTGGGTTCACACAGGGTTCTGTACAGAGCCTGTGCCCGGGTGTCCCTGTCCTGCAGATCTCTGGTGGCAGACTGCAGCTCCAAGGAGAGGAAAACAGGAGAGGGATGGAAATGTGGGACCAGGAGCCCTGTGCTCCCCCCATGCCCATCCCCGTGTTCCCAACCTGCCACGTTCCTATCCCAGTGCTGCCCAGTCCACCCCGAAACCCCCCAGTGCCCACCCCAGCGCCCACCCCAGCGCCCC